CATCCGGTTTCTGGCGATTGACGCCGTCGAGAAGGCGAATTCGGGTCACCCGGGCCTGCCCATGGGATGTGCCCCGATGGGACACATACTGTATGATGAGGTTATGAGGTACAATCCTAAGAACCCCTATTGGTTCAATCGTGACCGCTTTGTGCTTTCCGCTGGGCATGGGTGTATGCTACAGTACGCACTTCTTCACCTGGCCGGATACGACGCCGTCAAGGTCGAATCTTTTGGCTTATGATTTACTTCTGATTACTATTTTATGCCTTTGAAGAGCAGTTGCTTGATAAGCTGTTTCCTACTAGTATTAAGGGGAGATGGATCTAAACGGTGATTGATTGGTTATGTATGTAACTTTCAGTTATGGATCTGTGATCTGGGTTAAGTTTTCCTTCTTCATTATTTTGAGACAAATTTTGAACATTATTATTTTGGTTAACTGATATTCTTGTTGATTTTGTTATCTGTATAGACAAAAAGTTTGTTTTGAGTGTTTCATATGTTTCTTAGATGAAAATTGATGTTCTTGTTGATTTTGTTATCTGTATAGAGAAAAAGTTTGTTTTGAGTGTTTCATATGTTTCTTAGCTGAAAGCTATCTACTACTTCTACAGGAAGAGGACTTGAAGAGTTTCCGTCAGTGGGGAAGCAAGACGCCTGGTCATCCAGAGAACTTTGAGACTCCTGGTGTTGAAGTCACCACTGGTTAGAATTATTTTCTGAAATATATGTTCAGCTAATAGCACATTGAATTGAATTCTTTGGATATGAATTTTCTCTCCCCATTTTACGTCTGTGTAGGCCCACTTGGACAAGGTATTGCCAATGCCGTTGGTTTGGCGCTTGCAGAGAAGCATTTGGCTGCAAGATATAACAAACCAGATAACGAGATAGTTGACCATTACACGTAGAGAACTTGTTTGCTTGTCTTGATTCCTTAATCAATAATTATTATTCTTATTGATATATAGCTATTTTGGCCTTCTCTTTGGCTTGTGCACAGATATGTCATTCTTGGTGATGGTTGTCAAATGGAGGGTATCTCAAATGAAGCCTGCTCCCTTGCTGGACACTGGGGGCTCGGAAAGTTAATTGCCTTTTATGATGACAACCACATCTCCATTGATGGTGACACAGAGATTGCTTTTACTGAAAATGTTGATACCCGTTTCGAGGCTCTCGGTTGGCACGTGATCTGGGTGAAGAACGGTAACACTGGTTATGATGAAATCCGGGCTGCCATCAATGAAGCAAAGGCTGTCAAAGACAAGCCTACTTTGATCAAGGTCTTTTCCCATCCCATTTTCTTAAATTTTATCAATTTTTTTGATGTTTTGATGATTTATTATTAATTATTATTATTATTATTATTATTATTATTATTATTATTATTACTATTATTATTATTATTATTATTATTATTATTATTATTTTCTATAAGCAGGTTACTACAACAATTGGCTTTGGTTCACCAAACAAGGCCAACTCATACAGTGTCCATGGAAGTGCTTTGGGTGCCAAGGAAGTCGAAGCCACTAGACAAAACCTAGGATGGCCGTATGAGCCTTTCCACGTGCCTGAGGATGTGAAGAAGTAAGGATGCTTCACTTTCCCGGATTGAAAGATAATTATTTTTTTTCTTTCCGTAGAATCCCGTGTGATTTTAGTACTCTTTTCTATGGCAGCCATTGGAGCCGACATGTTGCTGGGGGAGCTGCTTTCGAAGCTGAATGGAATGCCAAGTTTTCTGAATATGAAAAGAAGTACCCAGAGGAAGCAACCGAGTTGAAATCTATCATCACTGGTGAACTCCCTGCTGGTTGGGAGAAGGCCCTTCCTGTGAGTAGCTCTTTTGTGCCTTTTTTTTTTTTTTT